CCAAGCTAGGGCCATCCATCCCGTATCATTCTCTATATATACCTTTCATAAAATGACGTCAATTTGGGAATCAGCTCTGATGCTATAAACTTGATTTTTTTATCCAAAACATGGTATCTTTAAACAGGAGGTTGAATAGAATCAAATCCTCAATGTCAGAAAATACAATTTACCTACGAAATTTCTGTCAGGTCACATGGGAAAGAAAATATGCAGTAATGGAATTCACATTGATTTTGAAGCCGTAGAGACCTGGACTCATCATACAACAGCTGCATTTATTAGCTAAATGACTCTGGACTAGTTTCTTAATATTTTTAAAACAAGGATTAAGTGAGATAAACAACAGATATCTTTATACATGCCACACTTTGGATTTTCTCAGGAAACAGACTCTGAGACAAAGATTCAGGTGGATATTGTTTATTTTCTAAGTGGAGGGAATAATGGAAGGGGAATGGGTAAGTAACAAAGAAAGATTCTGGTAATCAAACGAACTATCAGAGGAATGACCAGAATTTCAATCTTCTGGGGGCTTTTGAGAATCAGTACAAAACATATACTTCAGAGTTATTTTGATGAAAGGTGCAAGGATGCTGAGGTATTTGTACAGCAGCTCCTCTCAGTCATTGGCTGAGTGCTGCTCCAGGGGCTTTAATTCCTGTACTCTACCAGATTGCCTTGTGGGAAGGTAGAGAAATTCAGGCTTTGAGCATCATTGCTCCTTTACTTGGGCCAGCGTGAACTGAGAGGTAAGGGCAAGGGTTGGTGTGGTCATTGGCAATATCTGTTGTTGTGGCCCCTTCCCCCACTGAGATCCTCCCATGCCCTATGTTAAATTCTCTGAGTTCTCTCACTGATTTTTCAGGTGATGGCCAGCTATAATTGCTTCAAAAAAAGTTTGCTTACTTAAGAGTTAGCGGGACAAGCCAGAGTACTCCCTACTGCCATTATTTCTGAGGCTGTAAGTGATATTCATCGTTATATTCTTCTACCACCTAGGCAATCCTTCACTGTTGACCATCCTGTCTGCTGGCTCATGTTTTTGCCCAGTGGAATCACTCAGACCTTTGTCAGGGGGTTGAATATATGGTCATCCTTCTCTTATTAGACTGTCATTACTGCAGTCTGCTGCAGGTAGCTGTGATCCGTTCTGAGGGCATTCACACATGCCCTGCTGAGTCCCCTGAGTTACAGATGCTGCTCCACAATCGCAGCAGACCTGGCTCCTCATGGCAGTTATGGTAGTCATAACTGGCCAGTACATCAGTCCATTCTTTGTCTGACAGACTCCTAGCAGGGATCAGCCAAAAATGACCCACAGCACATAATTTTAGGTTGAGTAAGATCCTAAATGGTCCCCTTGTAGAGGTATGAACACCCACCCACCATGGAAACCAGGACCTCCACTCTTTCGTAGTCTGTAGGGTGATGGGGATAACAAATTCCTCAAGTGGAGAATCAGGAGCTTTTGTGAGAAGGCGCCTTCTGCTGTCATCCCTCAGTTCCCAGACCCATGTACTTTATCTTTTGGGACCAAAATGTGATTGTTGGCTCAAAGTAAATATCAAGTTTTGAAGGTCCTTACTCCAACACCACTTGATATTATCCCCAGTGTTCACTCATCTGGTAGCTTCTGCCCGATACAAACATGAGGTGATGAAAGAGTGCCATGGTCGTATGACCTGAGGGCAGCAGCGCTGTTCAGATCACAGACTGAACCTCCTGCAGAGCCTTCTCTTGGCCTCAGCCTTTACAACTGAGCCAGAAGTCAGGAAACCTTGCACGGAGACAGCCAAGACTGTTTGTTTTTAACTTGCTATTGCAATATAGAAACCAAAACTTGCAGAAATTCTAAATGAGCTACTTAATGAACTTTTGTAAGTACACCTACAAATAGCTTTTTCATGATTCTGTTGGACTTACAGATTCGTTCTCTTCTTTGTATCATAGTGGAATTCAACATGTACATATTTGATATCTATATACATATATATAAAATTTCCCTTCCTGTCATTTTTGAGGCTGATCTCACATTCACAGCTCCACAAGCTCAAAGGATGAGGGAACATATGCTTCTCCATATGCCTGACACAGGCTCCTCAATGCATTTATTACTCAGAGCTCAGTGATTGAGGAATGTTTGTACTATTTTATTTTTCCTCATAGTGAGTCATTCTACTGTACATTTCAAAATTGTGATACGTTGAAAGATGCAAGAATTGAGGTACATTTCAACAAACAGCTTCCCATCTGGTAAATGAGAGATTTTATTTATAACCAGGTATTCAGATACAGTGGAATAAAATGACATTCAAATTATTTTGTTTTATTTCATGACTAAAGGGCTGAGTAAAAAACACTCACCGCCTCCAGTTCATTCTCCACATTGCAACCAGATCAGGAAAATCCTCTTAAACTCTGTAACAGGTGCAAAATCCTCACCCTGGGGCCGCAAAGCCTTCCATAGACCAAGTTCTTATGCCTTCTTCTGACTTTTTCTTGTAGATCTCTCCCTGTGTGTTCTAGTCAAACTATAACTTTTAACAGTATCCTTACATCAGCCCTCCATTTGAGCAGAATATGTAGGTAGGAAGTACTCAAATGCCAAGTCAAGTTCAATAATCTGAATAACCAACCAACTGCTTTTCATCTACTACACACCATGGGGACTTCTAGAAGTCAGCATTTGGGATTTAGGATGGAAGCAGGGATCCTGCAAAAGCCAAAGCAATCTCAGAAATAGTACATTGATGTCTCCAGGCTAAGCGTTAAATTAGTCCCCTCTTCTCTCTTCACTGCCCATCCAGGGCAGTCGTTTCCCTGCCTGACATTGCCCACACAGTGCTCGAGCAGTCATCCTGATTCTTCTGTTCTCCGAGCTTCATGTGGGAGGCCTGAGTTGGCCCAAGGTTCAAACACAGGCTGAGGGATTTTGTGCATTCCAAGGTTGTGAAATACTTTTAATGCCAAGACAAGTGGGAGATGCTTCTTCATTTTACATCTTTGAATCCTCTCATTTAAAAAAAAAAAATTAGCCTTTTGGCAAAGCACGTTTTTTAAAAGAGTTTACCTGTCCGTTTTTAAATAGGCAAGTCAATCAGCTACCACTCATGCAGCTTTCAAATATGCGCAGTTCAGTGGTAGGAGCTTTAGGGGAAGTCCTCAGGAGACATGAATTTGGGTGGAGAAATAGAGCTGTGATGAAGTTTTAAAGAGCTGAAATATGTGTGCTTGGCATGAGTGCTTTAATTCAGAGTAAGAAAAACCATTGTCTCCCAGGGAAGGTGAAATTTTTGTTTCCAGCTAATGATTGGGTAGGATTAAGGTAAAGGGTTCATTGGATGAATGGTGTGTTAGTTAGCTCAGGCTGCTGTAACAAATATACCATTGGCTAATAGCTTGAACAAAAGACACTGATTTCTTACAGTTTTGGAAAGCTGGCAGGGTACCAACATGGTCTTGTTCTGGGGTGGGGGGAATCTTCTTCCAGATTGCCAACAGCCAACTTCTTGTATCTTCAGGGTAGATAAAGGGCAGGCAAGGTCTCTGGCCTCTTCTTTTAAGGTCACTAATCCCATTCATGGGGCTCCACCCTTGTCACACAGTTACCTATCAAACCCATGTCCAGATACCATCAAAGATTAGAGTTTTAACATGAATTTTGAGACAACAACTTTAGTCCTTTGTAAGTAGAATCCAAGGCTGACTTGGGTACAAATGCACAGAAAAAGAAAAGATGGTGCTAACTAGTTCTATCTATGCTACCTGTTTTACAGAAGCACAGCCCACACCAGTATGTTCTAAAGCTTAGCCTGCAGAGGGCCTATTGAACACATTTCATAATTTCAGATGGGATGAGGCTCGAGAATCTAGATTTTTAACAAGTTCTCTGGTGGTGCTGATACTCCTGTTTTGGGTTAAGCCCTGGAAACCAGAGGTCTGAACCATGTTGGCAATTGGATGGCTCCTTACTTAGTCATTTGCGTCCTCTAAAGAGAATGCTGCAAATGGGCACTCTCAGTGGTAGCCTCTGGTCTCCTTTAGTCTTGCAGTGGTCCTGTTTACATTTTGCATTGCTCAGTCACATCCATCCTTCCCAGGGCTACCCTAGTCCCACAACCCTGTGGCTCCGACCACCACTGGAGTGTCTGACCATTTATTTCCTGTCTTTGTTGTTGTTGCAAATTATTTTCCCATCTCATGACCTCTAGACAATCTAAACTTTAAGACATTAGAAGGAAAAAAATAAATAATGTTACCAGTTTGCAATTCCTACTTTGCTCTCTGAGATCCTGCCAATTCACTGGTAAGTGACAGTGGTGAGATGGGGATATCTGATCTCAGTTTTCTATTCAACACTGATGATAATTTTGTAAGAAACTTATTTATCTTGAAGTTGTTTTTTCTTGAAGAGATGATTACCCAGGTAGGCAGCAGCATGACTGTTGGTAGCAGTTCAAATAATTACGTGGTAAGTTAAGGCATTACCTATTAAGCAGTTAAATTACAGTTGGCTCTTGGCAGGAGTTTTGAATTCTTTGTTTCATCACTCATCATTATACATGGAAAACTATGAAGTAGCCAAAACCCACTGGAACGTCTTTCCATGAATAGCAAAGGGGGTTAATGGCACATAGTGGGCACTCATTATGCATTTGGTGAATGAACAAATGAACACATTAGAAATAAATTCATACATGATTTTTCTTTTCTCCATAAATCTAAAGTAGACATAGTTCTGTGAAATATAGGCATGGTTATTTTGTATCAGTTTTAAATTTGGCAGGCTACCAATTGTTAATTTGCTTTTAGCTAGTTGAGATTAAATGTAATTCCTTCCCTGAGCAACCCTAAAGTAAGTAAGCATGAAAGCATTTTCAGAGTAATCTGGGAGGAACTGACATTTAACAGAGTTAGCAGTACATCTGTACTTTAAGGCTATTAATTTCATAGATAAATTAACTTCATTGCTCCATCTTTATCTTGCATTTTGAAAGGACTCCATCTGGTGGAGGACTGAAAGCCGAGGGTCAATTGAAACTGCTCTTATCCCAGCCAACTTGTAACTGGACTCTGCTTCTGGAAACTCTGCTGCGTAATAACGGTCTTTTACCAACAATCTTGTTGAAGAGTTCAAGTGAGTATCTGTAGTTAGGAGAATGTCCTCAGAAAACCTAGTCATTGCTTCAGTTCAATGAAATTTTTTTTTTCCTACTCGAATATTGGCAGAAGGATGTAAACCAACTGCATGTATCAACAATCTGTAGGGCTAACAGCCGGCAAACTATTGAATTGCTTTACCAATCTATCTGAAATAATGTTTTTTCAGGGACTCCGAGTGAGGACAAACAGTATTTTTGTATGACACTGCTCTATCACAACCGCCATTATACAGAAAGGTATCAATATTCAAATTTGTAATGCCTCAGAAAATTAGAATGGCAGTTACATTTCTAAGACACAAGCCTGTATTAGACAGTAAAGAGGTAGAAAAGAACTGCATCACACAACACCAGAAATCTTAGTGCATCTTAAAGGGTGCTTGTGTGACCTATAAATGAGCAAGCTGTGGCTTATAGCTCTACTGAGGCATGGAGAGGTTATGCATGAAAACTGAGGGTAATAGAAGACCACATAATTAGACTTTCTTTCTTTCCCCCTAAATGCTATTTTAGAAAATAGTAAGAAATATTCTGCCAGTGTATCATTCATATTCATTGCTCTCCTCTACCTATGGAGAATCTCCTAACAATTTCCCCACACCTTTATGCATTTCTCCTCTTTTATAACACATGTGAATCCAGATCAGTCTTATCAATCTGTAGCTCACTTTCATTTTCCTGAATCAAAATTGTTTCTTCTAGGTCCCCATCACTTAGCAGACCAAATCTAAGTACTTTATTTAGCCATTCAAATACTATCCCAAATTGCTTTTCTAATCTTTACTCCAGAACCCTCTGCACACCCCACCACCCTCCCGCCTGTTTTCAGCCATTGTCACCTAAGCCCCATGCACATGCTGTCCCAAAGTCTCTACTTGTCAGTTTTTCCTACTGCGAAGCCTTCTCTAGACAACTGGGCCTCCACCAGTCTGCGAGGTCCAGTCAGTGTTCCAGAACTCCGATGCTCCATTCACCCTGTTTTCTTCCTCCCCTGCACTTCGTGGGTCCTCTACCTTATTTGCCCTTAGCAAACTCTGCCTTTTGTTGTTGTTGTTGTTGTTATATTTGAATATAAATAAGACCTGTGTACTCAGGCCCTCCCAGCATGCTGATACAAAATGGGGTTCACAGCATGCCTCTGTCCTAGTTGCTATTATTTGTAGTAATCTTTGCTTTCTCACATCTGCTTGGGACCAGTTTCTCATATTCTTCTCTCTTGTACACCTTCATCTTTGTTTCCTAAGAGCCTCTTAGGGTAGGTACTTCTTGTGCCAATATTGTATCTTCCCGGTGCTGTAAAAACCATGAAACCATGTGGTGCCAAAGGCCATCCCAGCTCCCGAGGCCTCCTTGTGCTGCAGCAGAGGCTCCTCTGACCCCAAACAGTACTCTGTGGACCTTAGATCTCACACGGTTCACCTGAAAGCAATGTCTTTGGCTTCACATTGTAGCTATGTCCTCCTAATCAGAAACTAGAACTAAAGGAAACTATTTCCTCAAGAGAAAATCTTTTGGGTACTTATTAGGTACCAGGGAGTATGTTAGGCACTTTACATTCATGAGCTAAGTTAATTTTTTATATCCCTTATGAACTACATACGATTGTTTCCTTCATGTTGAAAAGAAAGACACTGGAGTTTAAAATAAATACAGTTGGCCCTCTGAATCTGCAGATTGCATATCCGTGGATTCAACCAACCACAGATGGAAAATACTGTGTCTGGGAAAAAAAACGCATCTGTATTCAACATGTACAAACTTCCTCTGTTGCCATTATTCTTTAAGCAATAAGTACAGCAACTGTTTGCATAGCATTTACATGTTACTGGGTATTTTAAGTAATCCAGAGGTGATTTGATGTAGATAGGAAGCTGTGTTCAGGCTATATGCAAATGCTATACCATTTTATAGAGGGGACGTAAGCAGCCATGGATTTTACCCTCTGAGCTTTCAGTCAGGACGGCTGCATGACATGGATGGTATCTGACATGGCTGAGAGAATTACTCTGATATAATCATTAGAACTCACAGATGTAATCCCATAAGGGAAATCATCTACTATTGATAGAGTTATGTAGAGCGACCTGGAAAATCAATTGACTATACTGATAATCTTTAAACACAGGAAGAACAATTATTTTCATAAATATTAAACTGTGTTTTCGTACAAATGAATCCCACATTTACTTATCAAAAACATGATGTTCCCCTTCTGGAATGTATAATGTGATGCTTCTTTGAAGAGACTTACAGCCATCAAAGGTGCCACAGGGTAAAGATTCAGTTGTGGTTCCTAAGGAATATAGCAGTGTATTTACCTAACCTCCTGAAATAAGCATTATTTGTTAAAAAGGCTATCAAGTTCTGTGGTTTCTCGGGTGTTTTTCTGTATTGACTTTTTCTAGCTACTTAAAATACCAGAACAATGAAGTGACAGAATTTGCTAATCAATTGATTTACCGATGATGAAATTCTAGTAGAATTCTTGACACTTTAAGTTAAAAACAATACACGCAGGGAATCTTATTAACTATATGGAGATGGAAATTACTGTGTACATAAAAAATAAATGTATAATTTTTTGCAGAAGTTTCATTTTCGCTTCATTGAAAAGCTTCATGGTATTTCAGAATACCGCTTAGCAATTTAAAATTTTAATCATATTTTTAGGAAAGCAACATTCAAGTAAAATGTTCTGAATTAGAAATTTTAAGCAACATATCTATCAGCTTTTTATGGGGGAATTTTTAAATAAGGAATGCATTTTTATACAGCTGATAAAATTTAGCATTGTGCTGAGGAATAAGAGTACAGAGATAGTAAATATATATTTTGTAATACATATTTTAAAGAGTTCAATGAGCAATTATTTAATTATTACGTATAAAGTTTTTCTTGTATGACCATATCATATAAAGTTTGAAACTATTTCATAAGTGAGAGTGATGTCTTTAGCTTTGGTTTTGATCTGTGAAAGTGACCCATCAGAATTCCTATTTGTTTTAAAAGAATCAATAGAATACATAAGGAAACTGCTATCCTTTCTGAGGGTCAGAAAAATAGCAAAATTAAATTAACAAATGGTAAGATTTTAATTTATATTATATGCATCATAGGCTGCAGTCTTCTAAGATGAATCAGGCTTTTCCTATGGATAATGTTAGGTAATGTTCTATAAGAATATGTAGCATTTTGAGTCGTGCCGGAGATTTAGCTCAGTGGTTCTGCTACCTGCCTTGCAATAGCAAGGTCCCGAGTTCGATCCCCAGCACCAAAAAAATAATTTTTTTGTGGGGGGGAGAATAAGTACTATTAAAACTTGATAAAAATTAAACTGATTTTATTGGCTTTAATGGTAGATGGCTTTAACACTCCTCAGGTTCAACTGAGTTGACGTGAAGATAAAGTTTATTGGTTTTAACTCAGGCTATCTTGAATCCAAAGGAAAGACAGCTCATAACTACAAATGTTTATAGACTTTTAAATGTAAGACATTATTTTGAATACTGATTTTGAAAATGTAGGGCAGACATTTTGTTAATTACCTTGCAGAGTCCCCATAACCTTCTAGGTTTCTTACAGGTGGTGTCAAAGGAATAAATATTTGGCACTTTCCCAACTGCCAGCAGGTGACCTTTTCTGCAAGTGGTTTTTGAATTGTGTGACTAACGTGTTTTTCTTTGCGTGTTGCCTTGAGAATGACTCCCAGTGAAACACCATGGCTTCTGGTGATATTCAGCTGTAAGATACCAATGGCAAACCAGCAAATACATAATAATTAACATGTTCCAGATATTGTTTTTTGAGTGCTTTCAATGTGCGCACTCACTAACTCCCAGTAACGGATTTTTATAATTAGTACAGTTTTCATCTTCACTCGACAGATGAGGAAACTGAGACACGGAGAAATCCAAGTCGCACACAGAGCTGGCAGCAAAGCAGCCTTGGAACCAGGCAGCTGGCTTCCTCATGCTTCCACCTCTGCCCCAAATGGCCACCACACACAGCCACAGAGTGCTTACCACAGATCCGTAACACAACGAATGCAGAACCCTAGTAGTGGTTACTTTTGGCAGTGCATTTTGTGCTTTTGAACCTTGTTAAAAGTGCCTAAGGATAACCAAGAAATAGATGTAGAGAAAATCCTAACTAAAGGTCTGCTGCCACTACCAAGTGACAGTTAATTTAAAATGAGTAAGTCAGTTTGATTTCTCTTATCTTGTGGTCGTATTTCCCTGACCTTTTACACGAGGCATATTATGTCAGAATGGGGTTCTGTGTGTATGTGTGTGTTCAGAGTGCCATTTCTGACTGTTTTAGAAGTGATGGCCTAGGTGGAAATGTGCTCCTCCTCCGTAATTTTAGCTCACCTAACACTGGTAGCAAACACTGCTTTTGTATTAGCGACATCTGCACCACAGGGCTCTGATTTGTTTGATCTTTTCTTCACTAGACTTAAACCCTGTTCTAATTAGATACAGTAGAGCCATGATTTGTGCGTTTTGGTCTAGTCCTTTTCAACCAAGGAGCCTGTCCAAGAATGATGCTGGATTATCCCCGAGATGCCCATGGGCTCCATAGAAGTGTTACAGCCCCTGCAACAGCTATCTATAACCGGGATCTTGGAGTCTCCATGGGTTGAGGTAGTGGTGGATTAAGCTGTGTCCAGCAAGGCTTCTTGTTGTAAATTGAAGACACGTGTCACCCGGGGGTCTCATTAAAACTGCATCTTCTGGTTCAGGTTGGAATGGGGTTTGAGATTCTGCATTTCCAACAGGCACCCTGCTGTTGTGAGTCTTTGGACCACTTTCCTGTGTAGCAAGGATATTGAGCAAAGTATGGCTGTCGAACGCAAGAGAATTTGAGTATGTAACAGTTTGTCCTAGAAATAGGCTTAGGAGGAGATATGATTTACTGAAGAATATTTATGAACTATTTCATCAGGAAGTTCACAGCAATCCGCAAGAATGATCGT